AATTGGAAGAGGGGCCTCATCAACCATGTACTATACTGGTTTCTTGCTTCCCATTGGGGTAAGGATTTTTTCAATTATAATATTTCTTATAATTTTTATTGAAATGTGATCTTATTGAAACTTTCCATATGAAAAGATCCTTTTTCTGGAGAGTTGCTTGGGGACTGGAGCAAATATTACAACAAGAAGCCCACAGACATCCCCAGCTAGGCCAAGAATCTGCCTTTGGGGTGAGATTCCAATAAAGAAGAAAATCACCCACACAGAAATGGATGCTTACGTTGGGGACGTGCAGGTATATACATATTATTGGTCAATAAAAGATTAAAATTTAATGAATTCCAAAAATAAAGTGTCATTGTTTTGGTTGCAGTCTCTAAAGACCATTCTTGTTCCCGACAAGTTTGAGGCAACTGCAGAGTGGTATTTGAACTTCCATCCTCTAGAGACCACAAAACACCCCGAGTTGGATGCATTTGTGGCAAAATTAGAGTGTAGAGGGGAAGTCCACATTCCGGTGGAGAGGAAGAGAAAAGCTCGGAATGTCCCTTCACCAACAAGAGATAATTCTGAAGAGCGTAATGAGCACATCTCCTCTCCCCAAGAATCTCAGAGGAGTTAGAGCCTTAGGGGATCTCCTTCTAGAGTCTCCCATTCCAACATCCCAAATCCATCGTCTCCTAACCCTCACCCCGCCAAGCCTTCATCCAATACCTTTCAACAACTCTTTGATCGAATGTCAAAGAAAATTGATAACATTGCAGAAGAACAAAGAAAGAGGTTTGAAGTGCTTGAAAAAAAAGTTGATGCTTTGTCAACTTTAATAAATCAAAAGATTGTGAAAAAAATACGTTGAATTATGATATAAATTTAATACTGTATTTTTCTCATATTAACTTTTGTATTAAACATCTCATCTTTAATTTATAAAAAAATACGTTGAATTATGATATAAATTTAATATCAAAATATTTTTTTAAATGCATTTTTGAAATATCATAATTTTATAAATTATGTTAATAAATAAGTTATTAATGGTCAATGTATTATTTTGGAACCTATAAAAAGTCAAATAAAAAGAAATATATACACAGTAAAACCAAAGGAGTAGAAAATTTTAACCCAAATTCAACATAAAAAGAATTTTTTTAAATTTTTTTTCAAACAAATATACATATTACTAATTTTGAAATGAAACAAAGTTAGTAAGCACATAAGTTAACAAATGAGAAAAAAGCCGAAATTGAATAAACTCAATCTTCAAAACTATTCTTATCATTTTCCGATCATTTTTTCAGTGAAGAAAGATGTATTAATATCTATTTTTCAAATCACATGGGCACATATGCTCTTTTTCTTTATTTATTAGTTTTTCCTATTTCTTTTATTAATCAAGGACTTTTAAATTTCATTTTGAGATTTTTTTTATAATATCCTCAAAATTTAATTTTTCTAAAAAATACTCCCTCCGTCCCACAAAGACTTTCCTGTTTTATTTTTTGCGCATCCCATAAAACACTTCTAACGACATCTAAAATGCCTAAAATTTACAAAATTTCTTCTTTATTATGGGTAGAAGTTATTTTGAAAGTTTTTTTGGCATTCAAGACGGGATAGAAGTGTTTTATGGGATGCGCAAAAAATGAAACAGGAAAGACTTTTTGGGACGGAGGGAGTACTAATTTAATATACTATATAGAAAAGTAAAAACTTTTGTTTAGAATTTCAAAAAATGAGTAATAAAATAAGAAAAAAATAAAACAAAAAAATAAAAAGGAATATCATTTTTTGACATTCAAATTCTAAGGACTTTTTGTAGACATTTTAAAAATTCATTTTTGCATGTTTCAATTTTTTTCATTTCGGTTTTCCATATTTTTATTTTTTATTCTTGATTTTCATTTTGATTTTCATTTTGAACTAACCAAAAAAATTGTTTTAGAAAATAAAGAGTGAAAATATTTAATTTGAGATAGATAGAGTATGTGTTATTTTTTATTTTATTTCTAACACAAAGTTTTTTGAATTTTCTAAAACATTTTACAAAATTGAAAAGAAATTTAAAGAACTTTTCTAGTAAAAGGACACTAAGCAGATAAATATGCTGAAAAAAGAAAAAAATTAGCATGGATTTCTCCAATGGTTTAGAAATCAGGCACCAATATCTCATCTCCAATTCTTCGATGGAAAATGACCAAAAGTGAGAAGAGGTGTGTGTGCAACGTTTTGAAACTACGAGAACATAGAAAATAAGTTTTAAAAAACAAAGGAGATATTAATGACAATTTTTCAAACCACAGGTTCCGCTCGAACTATTTGAATATTTGATCTTGAAACAAATGTGCTATTTTAACTAATTAGAAGTACCAATTATGTTTAAAGATAATTTTCATTATATTTTTTTTGTAAGAATGACTTAAACAATAAAAAAAGGACAAAAACATCGATGGGGTTCTAATGACACCAGAGTACGGTGACACTCCAATGCCACTGTCATTTTGGGGCACTTCTGGTGCTCCGTTTGTAAAATTGATGGTTCTTATCCCCTAACCCCCCTACCCCAACCCCGCCCTGTCCTTAGCCCCTTCCAAATGTGTAGCTCTTATGCATTGCATAACAGCCACATGTTCGGAGGAGGGCTGTAAAACCCCGACCACCACCCTAGCCGTAAGTGTTCGCTGATAGGATTGTAGACTGGCCCTACAAACCAACACAAGTCTTTCCCGCGCACTTTGTCCTCACTCGTGAGTGCCCAATGAATTTCCAAGGGGGTCACCAATCCTAAAATTTCTCCATGTCAAACACGCTTAACTTTGGAGTTTCTAGGTGATGAGCTCTCGAAAAGAAGATGCATCTTGTTGGTATGAGTAGCACTATTAATCCTTTTGAACCCTTTTCTTTTCCCAATTCATTTATTTTCAAATCAGGGTATTACATTCACCCCCACTTAGGAATGCAACGTCCTCGTTGCATCTTATTTTCAAACCCCAAGATCTTTCCCGCTAGGTGAACTAAGCGCCTTTGGTCCATCACGGTCGCAAGGTTGCTATGATACCATTTGTAACACCCCGACCCCCATCCTGGCCGTAAGTGTTCCCTGATAGGATTGTAGACTGGCCCTACAAACCAACACAAGTCTTTCCCGCGCACTTTGTCCTCACTCGTGAGTGCCCAATGAATTTCCCAGGGGGTCACCAATCCTAAAATTGCTCCATGTCAAACACGCTTAACTTTGGAGTTTCTAGGTGATGAGCTCTCGAAAAGAAGATGCATTTTGTTGGTATAAGTAGTACTATCAATCCTTTTGAGCCTTTTTCTTTTTCCAATCCATTTATTTTCAAATCAGGGTATTACAAGGGCTTAGGGGGAAGGGGGCTGGGGATAAGGGCTAATGTGAGGGGTTTAGGGGGATGTTAGAGAAGGTACAAACCATCAATTTTGAAAACGGTGCGTCATAAGTGCTATAAAATGGAGTGTCATCCGTTGACACTGGACTCTAGTGTCAACAGAACCCCATCCCAAAAACATATTTAATCCTTTTTTTTCAATTTTTCATTAAAATTTTACTTCTTCTGTTCTAAAATGGATACTACTTTTATTATTATGGTCTTTCGATAACTTTTGTTTGTTTATATATTTCATTGATAATTTGATTAAATAAATATTCTTGTCACATATTGTTTTATACTTCCTTCGTCTACAAATTATCTTCTCTTACACTATTCACATGATCAAACTTTATTCTCTTTGTTTGCTTATTTTTTTCGCTTATTTGATAAAATAATATAGTAATACACCTTCAATTTTTTTATTTTTAATTTCACACCATTTTTCATATAAAATGATTTTAAAATAACTTTTGTCAAACATCGTAAGCGCGATGGAAAGATAATTATTGGACAGAGTAGAATTTTTATATATTTTTAAATGTTGCAATTCATACTTTTTATTCCTATATTAATTTATAATTAAAATATTTTTAATAAAAGAGTTATATGCATGTATAGTCCATGTAGTGTTTCATAAGTAGGTAAATTGTAACGCCCCACAAACCGGACTAATAGCTAGCCAATATTTTAAATAAATAAATATTATTTATTTATTGAGGCTCATTATTTTAAATAATAAATATTGAGATTTTGATCTCTTTAAATGAACTTTTAAAGTTAATTTATTTTAATAACGCGCATCTCAATATTAATTAATTAAATAAATTAATTAATAATTGGGATGGATCCAAAAGTTTGAAAATAGAGTTTTTAGAAAAATATTTTGAAGATATCATAAATTTAGTTTTGACTATTTATTTCCGAAAACGCAACCTGATTTCAATTCGAGGGTGTTCAGGGGAAAAGCGTGTAACGTTCAAGCTAGTTTTTATTTACGGAGTAACACAAAAAGTGACTCGCTAATTTCCCCACATCTACACGCCACACACCCTCTCCCTCTCCACATTCATTCTCATCTTTAATTCCCCACCTCATCACCATTATTGCTCATTATTATATACATCTTTCTCTGCCTAACTTACCAACCATCCAACTCCCTCTCTCCCCCTCTCCCTTGAACATCGTCCAGAAGTATCCAAAAGAAGACGGAGCTCTGGTGAGGAGAAAGAAGTGGAAAGGCGAGAAGAAGAAGAAGAGGAAGGAGGTGCTGATTTTTGAAAGCAAAATCCCGTAAGTCCACTTTGAGCAGAATTTCGACCATCTTCAACTTAGTTTTTGGTCGTGGTTTCTTGACCACAATTGTAGCCCTGCGAGTCGGGGAACCACAATCGCAAACGATTTGTCAATCGGACGAGTAACAAAGGCTATACGGCCGTTTTACCAAAACTGGTCCAATGGCGATGAAAAACACGAGGTTTGCAACTTCCGCCCTCATTCTCGTTCCGTCTCATCCAATCCGCTAATCGTTTGGTGCGTGCTGACTCTTCACAACCCGTATAACATATTCACAAGATGAAACGGAACTTAAGAAGCCGTTTGGAAGTCGAAAGGTCAACGTACGGATTAACGACTGTTCGTTGATGTTGATTCATTCGGTCCCTTCAAACGTTGTGTCGTATTCGAGGTATGTACACCCTAGATATAACGGACGAATCTTTAATATATTTATTTAAAAGTGGTAGAACGGTTAGATTATGAACAATATGGTTAGACTTGAGAAAATACCATTGAATATCATAACATCACTTGATACGTATAGGTGTATAAATTTGATATATAAATGAAAATATTGGGAAACACCTAGACTTTATTTAGACGACTACACGAACTGTAACGCCCCAAAATATACCCTAGAATTATTAATGAATAAATAATCAATTAATTAAATTTGTTTTGATTAAAATAAATTATTGTTGGGCTTTGGGCCGATACAAAATTTTTTTTGACATCTAATATCAAAATCTGAATAAGTCTCATAGAGATAAATCCAATATGTGGACTATTTGTGTTGTCTTGATTGGGAACCTGAGTACAGACCCAAAACAAAAGTAAATAAAGAATTTGTTTAGAATGTAAATATTGAAATGATTTGTTGAAATAAATCATGAGAATAATTGATATGAATTAAATGAGAGAACCTTTTATGAGAAAGGTCAATTAAACCAATTTTTACTCTGTTAAAGTCGAACACCCAAAAATGTGGTGTCGGAAAAAGTATAACGAATGAATATAAAAATTATATCGTTGGATAGAGTTCGACTGTCCGATCGCAACGGTGCAAACGGATTTCAATTCGGAGAAAGTTGAACCAAAAAGTGTACCATGACTGGAACCAAAAATTGGTCCCAATCAGGGACACTGTGCGAACGGCGCCTCCTCCTCCACTCAGCCGATTCCTACGTAGAAGCAGCTCAGCAATGTCCTCTTCCCCTTCATCAACTCCTATATAAGGAGTACTCAAAACCTTCAAACATGCATCATTTTTTCTCAAAATTAATCCATATAAATCTTGAGAGTGAGGAGAGTGGTCTGGTGTTGTTGATTGTTGTTGAAGTCGCCGGAGCTAGCCACAAACCTCGTCAGAAGTTTCGCCGGAAAATTTCCAAAACCTTCAATAAGCTTCGAGGTAAGCCCGTAGATATATCTAGTGACTAGAATGTTCATATAGATCGTTTCTACGTTCATAAACGGTCGTTTGGTTGAGTTTTGTGTTTGACATGCTTGAAGAACCAAGAATCATAAACCATGAAATTGATGTTAAAACTATAAATTAATGATGCCAAAATGATCCATGAACCTTGGAGAACATCTCTATATAGTTTCGTTGAAGTTCGGTAACTAAAAACGGTATTTT